GAGGTGCGCATAAGCGGGCTTGATGACACGATCACCCGGCCGAGGTGGTATCGACCAAGGCCGACGAATGCAACGCGGAGGATGTGAAGACCGGCGAAATCCGCCACCGCACGCCGATGAGCATGGTGTCCGTATGGATACAGTGTCCTACCACGGCAGCCAGGAAGATCGCCATGATAGGTAGACTCTTGGTAGGATGAGCCGAGGCACTGGACGAGCAGTGCTTCCGCTGTATGGAACCATAGGCACAGTGCTGCCCATCCGAGACGGACAGAAGCGGACGATGTTACAGGTGTGGTACACGAAGCCATTTCGCGAGGAACTGCACCGCCCCGGTTAAATGCCTCGTATGCGCGGACATGGACAGACAAGCGGACTATCGCCTGGGCAGTAAAGCCTGCAGACCACCGCTCAGGAAAAGGAAACCTCCATCCAGCAATGGAAAGAAACAGCAAGGGCCGGAAACGGTCCAGCCGAAGCAGGAACAGCAATCATCACCAGAAGTAATAGTCAACGAGAATGGAGGAGCAACCGAGAAGCAATCCACCAGGGAGAAGGAAGGCGGCCTTGAAAAGGCCATAGACACGATGGACTAATGGCCCACGCGGGCCGCATCCTACATCCAACGTGAATCGTTCGGCCAAGGTACAAGACCTGCTCTTGTAGACCATGGCCGAACGAGGAGCGGGATTGGCTGTGGTCGCCGAGCCACACATCATCCTTGACAACTCCTGTTGGGTCGGGGACACGTCGCACTGGTGAGGACGGGGACCAACGCCTCCGCCCAGTTCCGTGAGATTGAGCGGGGATGTGGCTACGTGGTGGCGCGCTGGAGCAGAATGACCGTCGTTGATGTTTACGCCCCTCCGAACGAGTCCTTGCACACGTTCCAGAGAATGTTGGACAGCCTGCGCGACTGTGTCGCGCGGAGACTGCCGCAACAGACGTTCGTCTTGAGAGACTTCAATGCGAAGTCCACGTTTTGAGGCTCCCCCTGGACCAATCGACGGTAGCCAAATGACAAAGTAATGCAAATAATATCGTCGCTTTTCATAAATATAATTTGTTGTATGTCAACTCTCTTTTCGACAAATCTTCGTGATAGAAATATAAATATTTAAAGACAGTTACAAAAGTATAATGATAAATATTAAAATCAATATTTAAAGACAGTTACAAAAGTATAATGATAAATATTAAAATCAATATGACGTATTATTGATGACACAGATGTGCTATTCTATTTTTTCATTCATTGTCAGTGCTTCTATTTACATGTTTTCATTCATTATCACTGCGTTATGAAATAATAGGAAAATTAACGGAAAGGCATGCTGCGTATAAATATAACACAGTATCATTTTTTCTATTTCTTTTGTTTAAATTCGTTTTATGATATCGTTTCGAGAAATTTAGACATAATTCATGAAAATTTGGCTATATCAATGGTTACAACGAAAAATGAATTATTTTTTAATTAAAGGTTTGAATTGTCTTCAAATATTTGATAAACAATCGAATTGAAAAAGAAAAAATTTTTTAAATAAGGAAATTTGTATTATTTATTTATTTGTTATACTGTTCTATAAAAAATAAATAAATACATATATTTCAAGAAATAAGAAATTTTGTTAAAAATAACAATAAAATAAACTAAAAAGAATTTGTTTATTAAAATAATTGTTTATTAAAAATCCTTTTTCTGATTTTAAATTTAAAATATTTTGTTTTTTATATTTTCGTTTCCTGACAAATAGAACAGCATTAGACAAAATCCTCGTAGAATGTACTGTAGCAGGTATGCTTTGAATAGGAAATTTGAATACTTTGTTGTAATTCGTCCTTATAAGTCGTCTTAAAATTTGGTCAATGGCCAAAATACAAATCAAAAAAAAATATATAAGCGCGACGAAAAATAAGATTTTATG